TCCCTTATGTGGGATATGCTTGGAATCATTTAGAGGACATAAAAACAAACAAACAAAACAACAACAACAAAAACCAGCCAATCAACCAATAAAACCCAGCAAAATCAGAACCAAAACATTACTTTTTCTGCTTTTCCACACTCCAAGCCAACGTCCCTATGCAATTCTACCTCAGAATTAAAAATGCACATTTACATGACAAAGTCACGGCTTCCAAATTCTGTATCTCAACTGTCAGACAGGGACCTCATGGAGGTCCCTAATACCCAGCTCTCACACAGGTACACACAAAGCTGCAGCTGATAGCAGAATATATAAAACGAGCTTCAGCTTCTTTTCAGCAGATGGCTCAGCCTGCTTGGGCACAAAACAAGTTTAGCTAAGCAGCCTTACACTTTAATTAGCTCTCCACAACTAAGCCATGGAACCAACTGTTTTGTTACAGCTAAATGTATCAACAAATATAAAGTTCAATTATTAACTGGAAGTACTGTGTTTTTTCAAGTACCATCCCAAGGCCTTGCCAAATTTTTGTAACATCAGAAGCACTGCTCTGTTTTTATATTGTGAAGTATTATTTCCAATGCACATTAGTCAGAGACAAATGTATTGGATGCTGCAGGTAGACTTGACGTTAATTGTTCTTAATTCTCATTGTAATGTATATTTTAAAAAGCTAATGCATATCTAATTAATCTAATTCATTTTCAAGTTCCAGTAAGACGATTAGATTTGCTACTGATGCTAATTGCTAGAGTCTGGTTACAAGCTAGCTCAAAAGAAAGCGCCATAAAGAACATGCAAAAATAACTCTGGATTGAGACTCTATGAAGATAAATAATAGAAGCAGCCAAATTAGCATAGCAAGTTGAGCCAATACTGGCAATGTGAAAAACAAAAAATCCAGTTCTCTTATACACTCAAATAAATCTGTCTCGCAAGCAACCACAGTGACAGTTTTTGGGACCCATTTTGAGCTGCTCAGACTACTACTTTTAATTTATGAAGTCTGAGTTTATGCAGCATCAATACATTTTTCATAAGTCAGCATCATTAAAGACAGAAGGAATATTTGGGTCTCTGTGTGTTACTCATTGTCATTAGAAAGGATCACAAACAGCAAGGCAGCTTCCGTGGAACAGAACAGTGTTGCTCTGCAGACCAGGCAAAGCTTAATTCAAAGAGGCCACCAGGTGATGGACTCTCATCATCTGAGTAAGGGTTTGGAGAATAAGCAAAAGAACTACACAACAGATGGATGGAAAGGTATGAAAGTATTAGATGTACACATTCCCACTCACCACAAAGATGGAGATCTTCTAATAAATGGTGAGAAGGGAAGAAGAAGGGAACCTAGAATGCTGGAGAGTTGTGAAAAAGTAAAGAAAGGTAAACAGCTCATAGATGTCTGTGTACCTTGTTTCTAAGGGATCTGTATGCACTCTCTCCTATAGCTTAGTGGTACAATGTGATTGGTTTAGAAAGTCTGAAAAAAACATGCATTTTAAAGGTTTACAACATTAGTAGCAGTGCAAGAGTTAAACTGTACAGTATCCCTAGTGGGAGCTCTGCAATAAGATTCCTTTTGATTTGGAAAAGAGAGACAAGGGGACACCTCAGTCTGGGGACATCAGACAAACAGAAACCATGCCCTACTGCTAATAAATGAGGAAAGAACCCCCGTTTGGTACTAACTGTTAATTCAAAAGGCAAAGTAGCTGCACCCGGGATCTATTCAGAAGCATGGAAGAGGTACACACGGCTGCCTAAACAGGCCATCATGGTGTGTCTAAGTGGGAAACGTGCAAACCTTTGGAAGAATTGAAAGCGCTCCATACGCAAAATAAAACATGGATACTAATAATACAAAATTTTATCATAACATACTTAGAAATTAAAAGATACGCACAAGAAAGAAAATAAACTAGAATGTTAATGAAGGTATCAGAGGTAGCTCTAAAAACAAAAGCCTTTGTCAGAAAGTGCAGCAGAAGTGGAAAACTGGAAAAGTGAAGGAAAGCTTTTCAGCTCCTCAGAAGAGCTGTATGGACTGTTAAAAAGACATTTCTGAGAGCTGAGATTCTAAACTGAGCTGAATTGTGTAATACTTAAAAGATGCATGACAAGAGGCAAAGTGCTTTAAAAGAGTGCAAGCACCAACATTTTCATTGGCTTGTAGAGGAGTTCAGTACCTTTGGAAGAAGCAAGATTGAAACTTTTTGGCCTAATTTTTATAAACATTTTTGTATGTTTCAAATGCCAACCTGCATATTTGCTCTCTGCTGAATGTTTAATGTAGACCTCTGCTACAGAAGATGAAAATCAACTTCCACAGAACGTGTATCTCTATTACGGTCATGCCTTGTCAGAATAACTCAATATGGAAGATTTTCTTCTGTGTCAAGATCATCTCTCTGCAAGAATCTACCAACAAAATACTTCGAGCCTGCAGAAGTCAATGGCACTCTTTTAGAGGAAGAATACAGAGAAGACAATGGTCTAAAGATAAGGACAGAGGTTTCAGAAACGTTTTAAATTTGAACCCAAGTGATGCTTGTGCAACTTACTACTTTAAAAAAAAACAACCACCAAAAACAATCCCCATGACTTAGTTCTGGTTCCCAAATCATACAGGAATTTTTCAGATTTTTTTGCACTTACTTATAGGCACAAACCAGTTTCTTAATTCACCTACCTTGAGACCTAAGCTCTAGTGTATATAAGGTTTACAATACAATTTTTGCTAAGAATGCTTTACGGCCTTTTGTACAGCAAAAAGCTGATTCCAACATGAGAGAACAGGACAACAGATTTGAAACACATGCTAGAAGCAAAATGAGTGATCCAGCACTACTGCAGACCAGAGCTGAAGAGCACAAGTAAATCACTGCATGAAGTCAGAGCTGTCAGTGTTCACAGTTCTTTGCTTTCCGCATAGCAGAGCTTTACAAAATTAACTAGATAATTAAAGAAAAATAAATAGAGAGGGGAAAAAAAAGAACAGCCTGAAAACACAGTCCCCAGAGATGTTTCTAGCCTGGTATCCATTCTGTGGTGTAGTCAGATGTGCAGAGAAGCAGCAGCCAAACAATGAACCACTTTCACTACTTGTGCTGTCTTACTAAAGGAAACAATAATAGATGTAAAAAGAGAACCTGGAGAGCAGCAGCAGAGCACAGTGCATGCTCCTCCAGATGGATAACTCACTGAAAAGGGGACAGTAAATCACAGCAGACTATGCTAGTTCCCTAGGGTTCTTCCCTGAAAGAAATACTGAAAGATAATTCAAAACAATCCCATTCCCTCAAACAAAATCAAACAAAAAACAGACCAGGACATCCCAGCCCCAGCTTCCTCAGCACAGATGTGTTGTAAGTTGTGTGGTTTAATGGACGTAAAATGATTAGCAGCAATGTTATTTTATTCACAGAAAAATACATCAACCTGAGTTTCAGGTCTCATAAATAAGGAAAATGTTTATAACTGCTTTACAGGTGAGTGAGTATGAGACAACAAAGACTTTGAGGGTCAAAAATAGCATTCTTTTAATACAGTTCAAGAATTTTCTTCCAAAAGGAAATTCTTCTCAGACTTTTTTTTTCTTTTTTTTTTTCTGAGGCAATGAAAACGCAATTTCAAATGCAATTCATCATTATTCACAACCTGGCTGCATGTTCTGCTGCCTGTAAGGATAAGCTCAGGAGAAGCACAGGAAAGAGGTGTTGTATGAAATAATTGAATGAATAAAAAATGAGCACGGGCTCTTTGCACTGCTGGAAAAGAGGCTCCTGCCCTTCTTCTGGCTCCTCAACAGGGGTTGAGGAGTAGGTTTTCCTAGGCAAAAGGCAGAGGAGGAGCAGATGCCTTGGGGAGTCCATCCCCCTTTGGGCTCATAGCTGGCCTTTGGAAACACAGAATCACTCACCTGGGAACCCTATGATTTTAACAGCCTGTTTCAAATGGCACATACTTCTTTCAACAATATGATGTGAAAGCTTAACATTCAAGTGGGTGTTGATGAGAAGCAAATGTAAGTCCTTGGTAAACACAAGAATATTTTATAGCATTGGAAAGTGATCCGACTTTTGCCTTTATCCTCAGTTCTCCAGCCATTTCTGTCACATTTGCTCAGTTATTTTAGTCACCAATGTTCAAAATTGAACGGTTCAAACTACTTCACCTACCCTGACCGAGTAGAATTTTGGAGTCAGTGTTACGTCACTGCAGCTGAAGCTGTTTTTGGTACCTGGCCTGCAATATCAAACGAGGACTCAATGGTCCCACCGGACCCCTTCCAAATCAGGATATTCTGTGATTCTATGATTCTGTGACTATCACAGTCATGCTCCAGGGAGCAGTTCCTTTGCTGCTGTTATACGTTTGCTTGGATTAGCTTTGGTTTCCTGATACTGACTTTAAATGTGCTGGCTATGTTAGCCTCAAAAGAGTGAAAGAGAATCCCATCTGCAAACACAAGCCTGGTAGCATTTTTTTAACAAACATAAGGAATTATAACAAGTTGCCCTGCTGTTTTGTACTGTTATTTGCCAAAGTGAGCTCAAAACATCTCCACCAACAAGCCAGCATTAGGAAAAGCACTCCAAAGCACATTTGCAGCTGAATGATCTGGTCACCAACAGTTTTCCTTTTCCTCTCACCTATCAGTGGATTTGTTGAAAAACAATTAACTGCTCTCAGCTTACATTAGTCACTTAGACATTTAAGATCACAGCCCTGTACAAGCTGTGTCTAATTAGTGTGTGCTGATTCATCAGTCCAGAGAAATAAGCTTGGGAAATGCAACAGGTAGCCAAACATTCTCAGAACAAATTAACCCCTAGAAAAACAGGCACATCACATCTCAGGGACAAATTAATCACTCCATCAGCAGGTACTTCACGTCCCATCCCAGCAGACTTAACTACTTAGGACAGACACAGGGAAAAGTGTGGCCCAGGCCATAGCTGCTATCCACAGCTTGTTGAACAATAGGTCCCTACCTTGCTTGCTGGCAGACACTGCAAATCCAAGCTTTCTCCTTCTTCTGGTAAGAGCTGCAGCTCTTGCAGATGTTGTACTTGCAGTCTTGACACTGTCGCTTGCTGTTGATAAGAAATGTGAAAGGTGAACAGCAGCGAATACAGCAGTGCTCGTTGAACTTCTGCTGCTTGGAAAGGATGCTGCACTTGTTACCCTCTTCATCCAACTTCTGCTTCATTTCGCTGAAACAACAACAAAAAGAAACAAAAGTATAAATCTTTGCCTTTCTCCTCTTCCCTTGTCCTCTTCCTTCCCCTTGTTATAACTCCTGCAGGTGTAAAATAAATGTCAAAAACGCATATTTTAAACCCAGAACTGCAAAGCAAAAGCTCCTATATTCTCTGACCCACAGAAACTCTGAGCTGAGACTCAGAGCAAACTACCTTCCTCCACTCAGCTCCAGCAACAGAACCCTGTGCAAAGCCAGGCTACTGCTCCATATATTCCAGCTTCACAAAGGCCTAATAGCATCTGAAAAGAGATGGCTGCTTTCAGAGCACTTTGTGAATCACAAATCAGCCTATGACAGTCGAAGGACTTGGTGTGCAGTAATAAAAAACACTACTGATCAATAGTTTTGGCAACAAAAAGTACTAAGTTTGCTTTGATCTACCTCATTATTTGTAATAATCCAGTCAAGGAAGTTAATCACATGCTTCTTTCTTAAGAGAGATAGGGGTGTTTTTCTTTGTTAAGACCCATACTGTGCCAACTGCAAAGTTTCTGAAAATGTCTCCCAATCCCTTGAGTTGTCTGTATTCCAACACAAGAGCTCATTTATGAAAAAGATAGACTTTACGTGAGGCATTCATTAATTTGTTGTCTTCCATTTTACAGTGCATTTATTTATTTATTACAAATTAGGCAATCTATTCCACGAGATGAATAATAAATAATAGTCTGAACAAGCAGTTGTGCAAGTAAACAGTTATTGGCATTCACAGCTAGTCTCTATGTTAAGAGGGAAAAAAAAAGTCACTGTTAATGAAAATCATGGTAGAAAAAGCCTAGAACAGTGTGTATATACATATATTCGCTCTTTCTGTTTCTCAGAGTTAGTGGTAGCTAACTTACTATTTCTAAATGCTGATTAGAAACACTTGTAAGACTGGAGTAACATGGAGGTCTGAATAAAAAATCCGCAACCCTAAAGGAATCACAAAAGATGGAACAAGTTGCAGGAACACAGTCATGACATGGCGACCTGCATCTAAATTGACACTTAAACAGCTTGCTATGGAAGAAAAAAGAATAATCTTACTGAGTACTTATTCAGAAATTCAACCAAGATCATCTGTATGTGCCATTAAGAGCCAAGCCCGGAATGCTAAAAAGACTCACGTGAGTAGGCTCTACACCTTCTCATTTGCCATTTCTGCCTTAGGTTCATAATTCAAATACAGACAGCTTATTTTATGAAAGTCTGACAGCTCTATTCCAAACTTGAAGTCTAAAAGGCAATTAAGGTAGTGTTCTAAAGCCTGTAATTTCTGAACTCACACATGCATCATATTTAACTGTATTCCAAATACAAATCTTCCATAAATTTTGAGCTTCAAAAACCAGTGTATTTTCCTGTTGTTTGTTCCCAACACAAAGGCTTGGCCATCTTAGACCACCTGCTGGAAATCAATGACCCTCAGAGAGTTTCAACCAAATAATCATTATGACTTTTGTTCAGATGGCAAACTTTTCTTATTTCTGCACATTTTTATAGGACAATTACAAGTGAAAAATGCAGGAGGTTACCACAATGAGAGGAAACGTCTGAATTATGTAGGTTAAACTGGCTTCCTAGTGTAAAAGGACAGAATTATCCTGCTGGTTATATGGGACAATCAGACCTGAGAAGCTGAAGTCAGAAGGAGCAGTGAGAAGAGATTTCTGTCCTCTATCTCCCAGAATGAGCAACTCCTTGATACTGAGTAGTGCTACCCTGCACGCTCAGTGGTGTTTTGAACCCTTTGTTTTGAACCCTTCCTAGGACTCTTACACATACAGCAGGATAAAGCACACAAGCAAAGCCACCTACTAAAACACTACAACGATGCTTGCACAGTATAAAACCAGGCAGTTTTGTTCACAACACAGCTAATAAAGCCTGATACCTAAAAAAAAGCTGAGCACACACTGCAGCCTTTTCATCAGCACAGGCATTAATTACATCTCTCTCCTCTACCCAGCTGCCAACATTCATTACAGGGGTAGAACCTTAATATCATTAAGGCATCTGCCTCACTGTTAAACAGGAACAAAATTGGCCTACGGATGTAAGAAGTCAATAGGATTGGGCTGGGGAGGCAGGCAGTGAAAAAGCATGAAAGAAAAAGCTTCAGTTCCACAAAAAAGCAGGTGGTACAGAAAAGAAAGCGATTCTCATCTACAGTTTAATAAATGAAGCCCCTCTTATATTACCTCTTCCAAAGGGTATTCTAGTTTATATTAGAAGTCCAACAGCTAAAAGGACAGTCAAAAGGGCCTGTCATTGAAGCCAGATGACTACTCTTCACACACTTCTCTTTGCCCAGAGAAGTTGTGCACACCCCCTCCCTGGAAGCATTCAGTGCCAGGCTGGATGGGGCTTCGAGCAACCTGGTGTAGAGGGAGGTGTCCCTGCCTATAGCAGGGATTGGAACCAGATGTTCTTAAACATCCCTTCCAGCCCAAACCATTCTATGATTCTGTGAAGTAAATACTGGCATGTAACTGGATCTGCCTGCTTCAATGTAAGTTCAAAGGGAACAGGAGGGCCTGGTTAAGCAATACCTAAAAAATCTCACTTGCACATGAATTCAGCAAGGTAAACGTGAGCTTCAACCTCAATAACCTGAAAGCCTGCGGTGCTGAAATTCAGGAGGTGCAAGGTGAAGCTCAAGGTACCTGAGGTACACTTTTGAAACCCCCCGTCTTTCCCTGCAGGACGTTCAAACGACTTGATGCAAGAAAAAGGATCATAACAATTGTCCAAAGAAAGGATGAAAAGGCTGCAGCCAGGACACCAACCCTCTCATTTACTTACAGGAGGATGGAAGTCACTCATACAGGAGGCAAATTTTTCTAAGAGGCAGGTCAGGATCTACATGGCAAGCTTTCACCTTTCCAACTCAAGCAACATCATTTTCCTCAACAAAACACAGACAAAGAGAAGGGACTGGGCAAAGAGGGTGAATGCGTGTGTGCTCCCATGTATCTAATTCCCTCTGTATACTGAAGGAGGGAATGCAATTCATGGGTGTGTAAAATATGCACACAAATAAGGCAATGCAAACAAACAAACAAACAAACAACAACAAAAAAACCAGCAAACCTCTAGGGAAGAAGATGTAAGCGTAGGAACCACAAATGACAGAACTGATTTCCATCACTCAAGTCACAACTGAAGACACAGCTATTACGGTTATGTGCAATGCAGCAATGAGAATCTGCGGAGATGAGAACTCCTGCTGTGTGAATGAATCTAAGACTGGAGTTCATTTTCTATTTCAAGTGGCTGTGTTTCTCCCGTTGCCTTTAAATACATAAGAACTGAAGAAGGACACGCAACGCATCTGTCACCAAGACACGGCCTTGAATTATAAGTTCCAAAATACACAGATGCCTATTCAGATTTTCCAAAGGCCTGTACAAATTAATCTGCATAACAAATACTGAATTTATGAGTATTTCAGTCAATGTTTCGAGTAATAGACTCCTTCTGGCATGTAATCTCACAAAAAGTCAGGTGAGGAAAACTTTTTAACAGACTGGTTTGGATCTAGATTTTGCTATTACACGCTGAGAATCAGTAGTCTTCTCCTTTTCAACCACTACGTGTATTTTCCACTGCATTTGTGAGTATGACATTTTGCTTTCCTGGTTTGTGAACTGCATCTGCTGTAATCATAAAACACCCTGTGGCAATAATGAAATCATTTGCTCAAAATAAACTGTATATTGAAAGAACATTTTTACAGCATCTTTCATTAGTGACCATATAGTCCTCTCCACTGTTTTATCCTTGCAGGCAACAAATTTACAGCTAATGCTCATAGAAGAGCATTTGTTGTTTCTCTGAGCCACAGTTCGATATTCACACAGCTCCACAGCTGCAATTGCTTTGTATTTCAATAAGGGAATCTGAAATCCTGCAAAGCTCTGTGTGCCTCCCTTGAGGTGTTGCTGCGTTTACTGCTCAAGGGCTGGAGCAGGTGGAGCTGCAAGTTCCAGATTAACAGAGATACACAACTCACCAACTCACCACACTAAGATAATGCTGTTAAAATAAGCTGGAAGGAAATCTAGGATATGCTTGAAAAACAGGTTAAAAAAATCACTGCTAGAAGTATAAGCCCTGATTTGTGTTTTTTCTCCCTAGAAGTGGATATCCAAGTGAATGCCATGCCAAGTGAGAGCACCGAGCCTTTGAAGTAAATGCCAAATTAGTTCATTATCCTAAAAAGTGTTTTTTTCTAGGCACCTATCAACACAAGTCACAGTTGTGTCTCGTGGTGTATTTAATGCTTCATATGCCTATCAGCATTCTACACGCTGCTGGTGCTGTCAGAAAACCATGTTACTACACATGAGAACGCACTCCTTGCAGTTGGGGACCCATGGAAACACACAGCCCTTTCATCTGCAAACAGATATTCATCCAGCAGCAGCAGCAGAGAGGATTAGGTAGCAGGAGTGCACCAGAAACAGGGATAGAAAGAAAGGTAAAAAGAATCTTAAAAATCCCACTGAACTAGAAAAAAACAGTTTTTGGGAGTGAGGGGGGGCACCACCTCAGCATTCAAGCATTAAGAGGCTCATGAATTGTTATCAGAAAACTACTTGTTGTATCTTGCAATCATACTTGGCATGTGATGAATATTTCAGAGTCAAGTTATTCTAACTGAAGCTGCATTCTTCTATCCACTACCTCACTGGTATCTCTTCAGGCACTTCTTTCCCCTTCAGCTATTCATTTCTATAACATTTTGGGTACTCCCATCAAAACTTACCTTCCCACTGTTCTTGTCCTCTCTCTTTTCTGAAGTAGGAGCAAGACAGCGCTATGTATTAACTGATGATAATGTCTCATTAAACTCCTTAAAATTGTTGTCCAAGTCTTGCCTTTGCCACTTAACTCAAAAGGCCTAGGATGACAGCTTGCTGCCATTAAAAACTGATGTAAAGATTCAGTGACTACTGTACATGC